AGATAAGGGAAAGACTTTTTCTGTGTTTATTCAACAGTGGCTGAGGAGAGGCATGCCGGATAAGGCAGACACAAGCATTCCAAGCACAAGAAAAGTATGTGCTACAGAGAAGCTGGACAGCTTTCCTAGCTCTCCCACAGTCCAGATGAAATACTCGCAAAAAATTAGCCAGGGCCCTTTACTTCAGTTTCTTTCTTACCTAGCAACCATCTGACTGTTAATTAAATTGGTATTATAGTTTTAAAATGAATCTTTTATGATTTGCTTACCATTAATCAAACCCCCAAGGCTTACTCACCTCAAGGGGAGCTGACAAAATTGAATTCTTCAATCTACAAAGATCTAGGGCCCCCAAATACCATCGTTTCCATTCTCCCCTAAACCCCACCATGAGGCCCAGTCTCAGCACTCAGCCAGCCTATGCCCCACTCCGGCTAATCAGCTTAGCCACATTAATATGAGTGGGCATTTCAGTGTCAACAGATTACTGCCTAGCAACTGACACGCACCCTCGGAAAATAAACCAGGAAGAAAAAGTTTATCTGTAATATCAAAAATTTTCATAGATAAAACTGACCATTACAAGGAAGAGGGTAGAAGAACCCTCAGCTAAGAGCCAGTCAATGTGTTCCTTAATCACAGCATATTCTGTAGGGGGAAGAGAAATGTTGTCATCAAATTTGTCTTTTTCACCTCAATTACACATCTAAGCTATAGCCCCATGGTCAGATTGAGAGGGAAAAGTACATGGCTAATAAGACATAAACTTGCAGCTGAAATGCTTCACTGGTGCTTCTTTTGTTTTAAGACATTGGATCTTCATAGCTACTGATTGTGCCCAAGTACACAGTATCTGCAGCAACCACTTAGGTCTCCAGGAATGTGGTGATTACTGACCCTAATTCATTCCTCTTCACAGACCCTATGTAATCAACCTCCAAGAAGAGCTTTCACAAACTCAAATAAACACAGGAAAGGAAGACCTTCTTATCTTTGAGAGTGTATGTTTAATCCTATAACTCTCTCTCATCATAAATTGCTTCTTAGGCAAGAAACATTGGATTTTTCTTGTATTTGTCATTGCCACGGGTTCCATACAACCATTCCTTTAACAAATAATGCATTCCCTCTCCATTTTTTGCTTTTCCCTCCATGCTTTAGGCTTAGTCTTCTCTCACCTAAAACACTGCAAGCTGCTTCTCCCAGAGCTCTCACTTTGACTCCGGACTACCCACATTGCATCTGTAAGTCTCTACCAAAATTTTCTCTTTTTATATCTTTTTAAGTTTAATTTTTTGTGGATACATAGTTGTATATATTTACGGGGTACATGCAATGTTTTGATACAGGCATGCAATGTGGAATTAGCACAACATGGAAAATGGGGTATCAATCTCCTCAAGCATTTATCTTTTGAGTTACAAACAATCCAATTACACTCTTTATTTTAAAATATACAATCATTCATTATAGTCACTCTTTTGTGCTATCAAATAGCAGATCTTATTCTATTTTTTGAACCCTCTTGTCTTTTTATATTAAAAAATAATCTTTATCTCTTTAAGCTTTATCAATGATTTTCCAATAAAATTTAGGATCTTCTGTGTATCCTGAATTGCCTTACTTTTTCCCCACTTCCTTGTCTTGTTCAAATGCAAATTTCATTAATGATTTCCAGATCAATGACAGTTCAGAAAGAAAGCAAGTCAAAGTGACCAGGGGCATGGCCTGGAAAGCGTTCTAAGAGAGGAATTCACAGAACAACTATTAATGATGTCAATAGGATAGTATTAGTCCATTTTCATACTGCTATCAAGAACTACCTGAGACTGGGTAATTTATAAAGGAAAGAGGTTTAATTGACTCACAGTTCAGCATAACTAGCATAACTAGGAAGGCCTCAGGAAACTTACAATCATGGTAGAAAGCAAAGGGAAAGCAAAGCACCTTCCTCACAAGTCGGCAGGAAGGAGAGCTACTGAGCAAAGGGAGAAAAGCCCCTGTAAAACCACCAGATCCACTCACTCACTATCACAAGCACCCATAATTCAATTACCTCCACCTGGTCTCTCCCTTGACATGTGGGGATTATGGGGATTACAATTTAAAATGAGATTAGAGTGGGGGCACAGAGCCTAACCATATCAAGGATCAAGTGGGGGGCTGAAACTAAAGGATGAGCTCTATCAGATACGAACTTAGGTTCCCATATTCAGGTTAAAATTCATAAATGATCAAGGCATAGGATGACAGATAATATGGATTATTTTGGGTTATTGTGACCAACAGATCACAGTGGGTAGAGTTACGATGAAGGGAGGGTCACAGTTACTATAGTTACAGATGGATTCTAGGTACAACATTTACACTAAAGTGCCTTTGCCAAGGGAGGCAACAGCCTCAACATCCTGCGGGTTGGCCTGATCTACTCCAGAGACTGTGTCTTGTTCAGAGCATCACATTTGAAGAGAAACTTTGACCAATGGGAGTATGTCAGAGAAGGAAGTTCAGGATGCTAAGGACCTTAGAAACTATGTCTAAACAAGATTCATTCACAGAAGAAGGAATGTCTGGCAAAAAGAAAATAACTACTTACGTGGCTGTTGGAAGACCAGCAATCACAAACTTAAATTTGCAAAAGGCTGAGCAGAAACACAGATGAGAGAAACGAGCCATGTGTAGGAAAAGAAAAAAGCTCAAGCATGGTATGCCACCAGAGAATCCACCTAGCCTTGGCATTGGCAGGGAGGCCTCAGGAGTCGTAGTGCCTGACAGTGACCTTCTGATGGTGGCTGTCGTGTGTGAATGTGGGCCTAACGCTGCCGTCATTTTTGGTTTCTTAAGAGAAGCCAGAAATCCAAATTGTTATGCAACATGTCTCCATTTTTAATTTTAGCAACTATTACAAAATGTTGAAAGAGACACTGTGCAGCCCAAATATAACATGTTGATGGGCTAATGGCAGCCCCCGGTTTCCAGGTCACTGGGTCTACAAGAGATGATTCTGAGTTTCAACAGAGTACCGTGCTAAAACGCATGCACAGTAGATTTCACTTGGGTTCTAAAAGAACTTCCAAATATTTACTATTCATAGCCAGAGAAAAGGTTCTCTCTCCAGGTTCTGAACAATAGGAAATTACCAAGCAGATACTAGATGACATATTGAGAGATGTTATTTGAGAAAGGATTTTTCTCCTGAGGCGTAGATGTTGAACCAAATTCTATTAGTTATGCTTTTACACCAAGATAGTAGTTTACAGTTTACAAAAGGCTTGTACATCATCTCATATTAAAGGTTATTAGAACAGGCCTTTGAAGTAGAAAAGTAGGTATTCCTGCTTTGCAAATGAGTTCGCCAAGTAGCTGAGATAGTAAATAACTCATAGAAGGTCATCCTGGAAACGGGGCAGCAGAACTGAGATCGGATGATGCGGGTCATCCAACTCCAAATGCAAACGTCTTTCTGCTGCTGCTTCCTAGTCAAACTCTAAGGGTCAAAGATTCTCAACTAGATTTGCTCATTGCTGTGAGAGGTCAATCCACCTCCCGGAGTGCTCTCCTGAACATTCCCATGTCCCTAAAAGGCCTTTCTGTCCCTTCCACTGCTCCCTGAAAGTCCCTGTGCCTCACTATTTCTTGTTGAATTTTTTTCTAATCTGACTCTATCAGTTATGGAAATGTTCCCTCAACTCTTACTGCTCCAAATTGGACTCACTCTTGCCACATACTTGTCTTACATATTTATCTTATAAGGACAAAAACCTGTCTTAATTTATCCACGAACAAGGCCATGCATGCTAGTGCACACACACACACACACACACACACAGGATTTTGTACTTGATTAATGAGTCATCAAATCATCATAACTTCTGGACTTGTATTAATAAGCTGGCCAGGAGGAAAAGAATCTGTTGTCAATTGTGGCTTCTGGTTCTCTCAGTCATCTCTACTTTCTTCCAGCAAGTTTGGTTCTGCCAAAAACCAGCTGGCAGCCTTGTTCCCGCATGCCCAAAGCAGGAGACACGGTAAAGAAGATTTAGTTCTCTGTATTTAGGATCATCGATGCCAGGTTGAAATATGTCATTCTGGCCCAGCTGAGTGGCCCACACCTGTAATTCCAGCACTTTGGAAGGCCAAGGTGGGCGAATTGCTTGAGTCCAGGAGTTCAAGACCAGCCTGGGGAAGAGGCTAAGAAGCTAAGGTTGGAGGATGACCTGAGCCCGGGAGGCCAAGGCTGAAGTAAGCTGTGATCATGTCACTGCACTCCAGCCAGGGTGTCAAAGTGAGACCCTGTCAAAAAAAAAAGAAGGAAGGAAGGGAGGGAGGGAAGGGAGGAAGATGCCAGTCTGTCTTAGATTGAAGTGGACCTTATTTGGGCAGAACACACACGTGCACGTACACACACACACACACATACACACACACACACACACACACTATGGAGAAATGGCTAACTAAGCAAAGCTTCCAAATGGCAGTTTGGCTAAAATGTACACTTTTAAAAATGTGAGCACTGCCAAGGGCTTTTCCTTGTTGACCCATGAATCCATCAAGAGCAAACATTTTCTAACGCACTGCAATTCAGACTGTGCAGCCAAATGTCATTCAACATGAAATACATTATTACAACTTTCATCTGTCTAAAATCTTGCATCAAAAGTGAAAGACAAAAATGTATAAAAATGGAAAACATGCATAGAAATATGTAAGAGAGGAAAAAAGATACCCCAAGAATGTTAGTGCATGCAGCCACACAGGGAGAAGACTATTGTTGTTTTGTTTTGATTGTTTTGGTAATCTAACTGGTCAAATGACCTATTAAGAATATTTCATAGAGCTTATGTCCCAGTGCTCTAATCTCTCCAGACAAGGTTCATATTTGTATGGGTTACTTATTCTCTCTTTGTTGACTAAGTCAATAATCAGAATCAGCAGGTTTGGAGTCAGATTGGCAGGGATAAGCAGCCTAGCTCAGGAGAAGTGAGTATAAAAGCCCCAGGCTGGGAGCAGCCATCACAGAACTCTACTCATTCTTGGCAGGATGGCTTCTCATCATCTGCTCCTCCTCTGCCTCGCTGGACTAGTATTTGCGTCTGAGGCTGGCCATATGGTGAGTGTTTGTTTCTGTGACATCCTGTTTCTACATTTAAGATGCAGACTACATGAAGTAGAAGTGGCTCCTTCTGGCTTTGCCAGCCAGCTTTTGTTACAAGGGCAAGGGTACTCAGCATCTGTTTTAAGTATCTTTGATCCGAACTTCAAAAAGAATGAAGCTCTGCTGAGCTTACTGAGCTGGGACTTGAATTCTGGGCATTCTGCCTCATAGCTTTGGTGCATTGGGTTTGCAATGTCTGGTACCTCAATTTCCTCAGGCAGATGATAGAAATAAAGATGTGATATTAAGGAAGCTGTTAATACTGAATTTTCAAAAAAGCGTCCCTTTATCAAATGTATTTTGGGGGCAAACCGCATGAGATTATATTCTGGCCCTATAGCTAGTCAAAATATATTTATTGATTAATCTTTAAAAGGCTGGTGAGCAATATTCTAGATATCTATCTAATTCTTAAATCCTCTAGAAGAATTAATTAATACTATAAAATTGGTCAGGATGTAGACTGACGTTATTTTATAACAACAGGTAAGAGGGAGCAACTATAGCAACAACTAAAATGATCTCAGGGAAAACTCTTTGGTCCTGTGTATGGTACATTACATCTTTTCAGTAATTCCACTCAAATGGCGAGGCTTAACAAAGCAGCTATTCTCAGGGGGCCAATTTTCTCCCTTAAAATTCATTATACAAATCCCTGGTTGATAGAGGCATGTCTGGAGGCAGAAACCATTCTTGCTTTGGAAATAATTATGTCTGTGTTATACTGAGTAGGGAAGCTCATTAATTGTCAACACTTATGTTCCTGATAATGGGATCAGTGTATAATTCTTGCTTTGTTCCAGATTTCTAATACCATAAACCATAAATCCTTCCACTCTGATCAATTTTGTTACCTTCTCACTTATCTTCTCTACACCCAGGGATACAGCTGTCCTCTGATGGTCAAAGTTCTAGATGCGGTCCAAGGCCGTCCTGCCATCAATGTGGCTGTGAGTGTGTTCAAAAAGGCTGCTGATGAGACCTGGGAGCCATTTGCCTTTGGGTAAGTCGCCAAATAACCCTCTCATGGGACTTGGTTTTATCGTCCCATTCTCCCCTTATGTGGTAGAGAGAGGCTCACATCCTCTGCTAAAGAATGTACGAGTAGATTAAATAAGATGGGCAGAGATCAAATGTACCCTCTGAAGGATGCCCTCTCTTTGTTTTGCTTAGCTAGGAAGTGACCAGGAACCTGAGCATCATTTAGGGGCAGACAGCCGGGAAAAGAAGGAATCAGAACGCCTCTCCTCTAGCTGTGGCTTGCAACCCTTTTGGGTCACCAATCACTTTACATAGGTGATGAAAACGAAAGACTCTATGCCCAGAAAAAATGCATAGACACCCACCCATACAAAACCATGTATGCAATTTTAGGAGTTTCACAGATTCCCTGGTGTCTCTGGGTAACACCAAAGATGAGAATCCTTGTCTTAAACTTCTAGGAAAGAGGTACAATGTGTATTAACTCATTAATGGCAGGAAAGGAATTCAGGAACATTGTTTACTGGGCACCTGTCTGTAGTTAATTTGGATCACCCAGAAGCCAGGGCTTTTGCCTAATGAACACTTTGGGGCACCTACTGTGTGCAAGGTGGGGGGCTGACAAGCTCAGTAAAAAAAAAAAAAAAAAAAGACAGAAGAGATGGATCCGTGAGGCAAAGTACAGCCCCAGACTCATCCCACAATCACCCAACACCATGTGCAAGAGAGACTGCTCACCTTCATTAGCCAGTTCACAATTTTCATGGAGTTTTTTTTAACCTGCACTAGCAAAGCTTCAAGGAAAATACATATTAATAAACCTAAGCAAAGGACTGAAAGAGCAATCAGGAGACCCTTAGCACCCAGCAGAAGAGGAACTGCTATGTATTTACGTCTCCTCGGAGAAGAATTTCTGTTGCATTTTAATTGAACCCCAAGAACCACATGATTCTTCAACCATTATTGGGAAGATCATTTTCTTTGGTCTGGTTTTAACTAATTTTTTATTTGGTAATTCATTTACGTTTATATAAAATGCCAAGCATAACATGAAAAGTGGTTACGGGACTATTCTTTGGTAGAGAGAGAATGGACACCAAAAATATTTAAATGTTCTTGTGAATCTTTTTCCTTTTGCCAGGGCCAAAAAGAAAAAGGAAGTGAAAAGAAGAAAGGGAAAGGAGGAGGGGCACGATCAGAGTCAGTAAAGACAACTTCTATTTTTATCTGTCTTAGCTGTTGCAGTCTAACGGGAAGCAATTTCCAACATTAAACTATGGAGCTGGTACTTACATGGAAATGGAAGTTGCCTAGTGTTTGTTGCTGGCAAAGAGTTATCAGAGAGGTTAAATATATAAAAGGGAAAAGAGTCAGATACAGGTTCTTCTTCCTACTTTAGATTTTCCACTGTGTGTGCAAATGATACTCCCTGTGGCATGCAGATGCTCTGAAAGATATTGTCACACCACAAGGGATAGGATGAGACCCTGCTGTCTTGAGAAGTGCAGAGTTAGAACAGCTATGGCCACTTCCAGGGATGGTCACAACATCCCATCCAATCATCAATCTTGAATCACAAGGACTCTTTCTTAAGTAAACATTATACCTGGCTGGGTGCGGTGGCTCATGCCTGTAATCCCAGTACTTCTGGAGACTGAGGTGGGCATATCACCTGAGGTCAAGAGTTCAAGACCCAGCCTGGCCAACATGGTGAAGCCACATCTCTAGAAACAACACAAAAATTCGCCAGGCATGGTGCCAGGTGCCTGTTATCCCAGCTACTTGGGAGACTGAGACTAAAGAATCCCTAGAAGCGGAGGTTGCAGTGAACTGAGATTGTGCCATTGCACTCCAGCCTGGATGACAAGAGTAAAACTCTGTCTCAAAAAAATAAATAAATAAATAAAAATTATATATATATATGCCTACATTCTCTTCTTATCAAAGGAAAAAATCTACAGTGAGCTTTTCAAAAAGTTTCTGCAAACTTTTTGCTATTTAATTTCAGACAGTTATGAATTTTCCCCACTTCTGACTTAGTTAAAGGGAAACGTATATAACGTGTGTGTGTGTGTGTGTGTGTGTGTGTGTGTGTGTGTGTGTGGTATCACTTTGCCATGCCATTTGTTTCCTCCATGCCTAACTTAACCCAGAATTTCACATCTTCTAGGAAAACCAGTGAGTCTGGAGAGCTGCATGGGCTCACAACTGAGGAGAAATTTGTGAAAGGGATATACAAAGTGGAAATAGACAGCAAATCTTACTGGCATAACCTTGGCATCGCCTCATTCCATGAGCACGCAGACGTGAGTACACAGGCCTTTGAGGGCTGTTTTGGTTTTGGTTTTGGTTTTTGGCTTTGGTGTCCCAGGAAATGCAGTTTTACTTAGCGTATTACAGAAATGTCCTAAAGAAGATGATGAATGACCAAAGGTTCCCTTTTCTCTTATACAAGAAGAAATTCACAACACTCTGAGAAGCAAATTTCTTTTTGACTTTGTGAAAACCCATTTAGTAACATGACCTGAACTTACATGACACTATTTGTAGCCTATTCATTCCACTTGATATGAATATTGATGTATTTGCTGATGAAATAATATGTTTATGAAGCAGCCCTCCAGACCCTGCGTAGAGTGTTATGAAACAAGAAATGCACCATTTTATTTTCCTAAAACCTGAAACGTTCTTTATTTCAAAACACATCTGGCTCCTCGGAGATTTGGATAAGTGATTCTTGGAACACATACATACAGAGACAATAAAATCAAAGTAATAATGGCAACACAATAGATAGCATTTAGCAAGCATACACCATGTGGCAGACACGATTATGTGTTTTCTATATTTAACCTACTTAATCCTCTGGAACAGGCCACTGAGGTCAGTCTTATTATTATCCCCATCTTACAGACGAAGAAAATGAGACACCACGAAGTCAAATAATTTGTAGAAGGCCACAAGGCTAGGAAATGCAGGAGTAGAAATGTTTACAAATAAGACCCAGGCTGGGTTTGGCCTCAGTTCTGCTATGTCTCACATTGTGCCCCAGGAAACTTTTTCCCCTGTGAAAAGCCACGTGTCACATGCTCTGTTCCCCTGCCTATGGTAAGGATGGTCAAACAGTTATATATGGGCCCAGTCTCCCTGCCTCCCCCTTGTCTTAATTTCTTAAATCATTTGAAACAGATGGCTGTCATGGAAATAGAATCCAGACATGTTGGTCAGAGTTAAAGATCAACTAATTCCATCAAAAATAGCTCAGCATGAAAGGGAACTATTCTCTCTGGCTTAGTCATGGATGAGACTTTCAATTGATATAAAATGGTTCCCTTATTAGACAATGTTACCGGGGAAATGATAGAGGCTTGTTTGACTTCCGGGGCCCACAAGTCACCAAGGAAGACCCCACCTACCAAGAAGCATGTCCCTTATTACCCCTCAGCCAGGCAGCAACACACAGAGCCCAGTCAGGGCAGGAGCAGCGTTTCAGTAGTGCCCAGCACAAGACATTGCCCTGGAGTCTTAGCCTGTACCCTTGAGTAGTGGATCTGCCTACTTGAGAACGTTGCCTGCCTAAGACCTGGGTCTCAGCCTGATGGGGCCATCTAAAAAGGTTCATTGCCATACTGCCCATGTGTTGTTCTTTCATTAGATCTTAGCTTCCTTGTCTGCTATTCACTCTTGCAGTATTCAATCAAGAAACATTAAAAAAAAAAAAGAAAGCATTCTATGTGTGGAGCACTCTGCTAGATGCTGGAGATTTAGAAATGAAAATGCATCCCTACCCTTGGAATGGAGGGGAAAGGACTGATATAAGACAGATTAGGCAGGACTGTCAGCCCAGCTTGAGGCCTGGATAAATATGGAGATCAAGAGAGAGCAAGTCATGAGAGATGAGGCCTAGCGCCTCACTTTAGTCACTGGTGCATGGCAGGTTTCATGCAGCTTCTTCTGATAAATGCCTCCTTCAGAACTGTTCACGTCTATCTTGGCTAGTGAGCCAGGTGGTAATATTAGATTTACCAAGGGAAATAGGAAACTTTTATTTGGAGTTCTTAGGCCTCTTCACTTCAGGGATTTTTTTTTTCTTTTTTTTTTTGAGACAGAGTTTTGCTCTGTCACCCAGGCTAGAATGCAGCGGTGCAATCTTGGCTCACTGCAAACTCTACCTCCCAGGTTCAAGCAATTCTCCTGCCTCAGCCTCCTGAGTAGCTGGGATTACAGGCATGCACCACTATGCCCAGATAGTTTTTGTATTTTTAGTTGAGACAGAGTTTTGCCATGTTGGCCAGGCTAGTCTTGAACTCCTGACCGCAAGTGATCCACACACCTCAGACTTCCAAAGTGCTGGGAGTACAGGCATGAGCCACCATGCCTGGCTACTTCATGGATTTTTGATCACAGATAATGTCTCTTACAATTTTTAAAAAGAATCTAGTGGGCTGAAGGTCAATGTCACCATAAAACAAAAGACATTTTCATCAGTTGACTCTAGGGAGTTGGCTAAGGGGAGCACTTTGTTCTTCAGAGAGACTCTTAGGTGATTCTCACTTCCTCTTGCCCCAGTATTATTTTTGTTTTTGGTACATTCACTCAGATCCTTTTTTCCTCCTATCCCTAAGTAATCCAGGTTTCTTTTTCCCATATTTGGAACAAAATGTATTTATGCAGAGTATGCCCAAACTTCAATCCAAGGCCTGTACACAAAATAAATCAAATTAAACACATCTTTACTGTCTTCTACCTCTTTCCTAACCTCAATTTATCCCAACTTGCCTCACTCTGAAACCCAAGGCTGTGCCAGCACCTGAGTCGCAGATACGCTGCTGAATTTGACAGAACTGTGTGATTAACTGGAACAGCATTTTGACCCACAATTTGCCCAGTTAGAAAGCTTAAATGAGCTCTAGTGCATGTATATATATTTCAAAATTCCACCATGATCTTCCACATTCTGCCTGTATTGTAAATATAGCCCTGTAATGCTTTTACTTCATATTTCATTGCTTGTTATACATAAAAATATACTTCTTTGTCTTCGTGTTAGAAAATGCAAAGAATAGTGGGGTAGGGGAATCTCTGAGCTTGGAGACAGAAGACTTACCTTTCTGCTGTGGTTCTGTCAGTATGTAGGCTGGGATGACACCATAATTCAAGTCTGGTTTGCCCATCTGTAAAATGGGAAGAATGTTTCCAATGCCGAGTCTCTAAGTCTGTGCTTCGCAGCCACTGCTGCAGCAGCTCTTCAATGAATGCATTTTTGCATTCTCCCCACCTTTTTTTCTAAAACCAATCAAATACACACAGCCTTTAGGGTCTCTGGGATTTCCCTAGGTCAAGTGAGGGCCACCCTGACTTTGGTGTGAATTTGCAAAACAAGACCTGATTTTATAGGCAGTCGAGAACTCCTGCTCTAAGGACTGCAGGTGCTTCCAAAGGCTTAGCTTGCCAGTGTATCTGAGCTTTTTCCTTCTGTTCAAACTCTTCCAAAAAAATAATGAAATTAATTAATTTGGCAGTGAACTTCCGGGGGTCAGTCGTGTGTGTCTTCTGTCACACTTTTCGGGCTCTGGTGGAAATGGATCCTGTCTATCTTCTCTCACAGGTGGTATTCGCCGCCAACGAGTCCGGCCCCCGCCACTACATCGTCGCCGCCCTGCTAAGCCCCTACTCCTACTCCACCACGGCTGTCGTCTCTGATCCCAGAAACTGAGGAACTTCTCCTCCAGGGGATCTGAAGGACGAGGGATGGGATTTCATGTTACCAAGAGTATTCCATTTTTACTAAAGCAGTGTTTTTACCTCATAAGCTATGTTAGAAATTCAGGCAGAGACAATAAAACATTCCTGTGAAAGGCACTTTTCATTTCATTTTAATTTGATTTTTTAAATTCCCTATTGTCCCTTCCAAAAAAAAAAAAAGAATCGAAATTTTACAAAGAAGCAAAGGAATTCTAGAAAGTATCTGGGCAGAACGCTGGGAGAGATCCAAATTTCCAATGTCTTGCAAGCAAAGCACGTATTAAATGTGATCTGCAGCCATTAAAAAGACACATTCTGCAAATGAGAAAGTGTTTTCCTGTGACCTTCAGTGAATAGCAAAAGACACATTCTAAGGGCACACTTCTTTACTGTGGGCATTTATTTATTTTATTTTTTTCTTTTTTGAGACAGAGTCTTACTCTGTTGATCAGGCTGGAGTGCAGTGGTGGGATCTCAGCTCACTGCAACCTCCGCCTCCTAGGTTCAGGAGATTCTCCTGCCTCAGCTTCCCAAGGAGCTGGGATTATAGGCGCCCACCACCACACTTGGCTAATATTTGTATTTTTAGTAGAGATGAGGTTTCGCCATTTTGGCCAGGCTGGACTCGAACTCCTGACCTCAGGTAATCCACCTGCCTCTACCTTCCAAAGTGCTGGGATTACAGGCACGAGCCACTATACCCAGCCCCTACTCTGGGCATTTCTTTGAAGTGCTTTACTGATTTAAGAGAAGGACTGCTCCAACGAGACACGCCTGCAGCTATTCAGGCTGTCTGATCAGCTCAGGTCAGCTCCACACTGCAATCAGCAGGGTCAGGGGCAAACCAAAGAAACCCACACACCCAATTTACTTAGGCTGATCCAAAATCCATGCATGAAGAACTCGCATACACCAGGCACTAGTTTAGGTGATCTGGAAATAAAGAATAGGACCTAGTGCCTGCATTTATTTACAGAACTTACAGTCTTTTGAGAGGATAACTGTGTCATCGCGATTTGACAGGAGGCTATGGTACAAGCCACAGCAAGGGTACAAAGGAGGAAGAAGCCAATATCCTAGAGAAATCAGGGAATGACTCTGAATAGATGTCACTTAATCTGAGTGTTGGTAATTTGTCAGACAAGGGAAAAGGTATTCTAGGTAGAGAGAATAGTTTGCAAGGCTCAGCTAAGTGAAACAATTTGGTAAATTGAAAGAACAGATGTGATGATTTGGAATGTTGAAGGGCAAAGGTACGGAGGTGGGGTGGGTTGTGCTGCGATCACAAATAACCCCAAATCTCAGGGACTTAACAAAGTAACAGTCTATGTCTGACTTGTCCAGGTCCAACACAGAACTCTTGGCTCTAGAGACTCTTTAGGGTGGCTTTCCTTCTAATGGTGACTCTTCGAGACAGTTTGATTTAGTCTTGTGGCTTCAAGATCACTCTGGTTATATTTAGCCAGCAGACTGGGGGTATGGTAGTATGGTATTAGACCCCTGTGTGCTAAAGTGTCACACCTGAGTCCCACTGACATCTCACTGGCCAGAGCTAGTTACATGCTCCCATCTAGACGTGCTGAGAATTGTGGCCCCTGGCTGGGAGCCATTTCCCAGAACAACTAATCTGAGTTGTCCAACAACTGTCTCTATCACAGTAGGGTTGAGACTGGTGGGACATGAGGCTAGAGTGAAGGCTGGTTTTATCTGCCACCCATTAGAGCTGTGAATTTGTCTTCAAATCAACATGGGTCCATTGAAGGGAACCTTGACATCAGTCAGGTGGCTGGGACAAGAATAGTTACCACTTGCCCATAATCTCCAACCAGGGTTCTCTAGTAAAACCTGAGTTAGACACATGGCTTAGGCCTAAACCTACCTGAGCAGTCTTTCTATTTTCCTCCAAATTCAAATCTAAAATCTTGCTACCCTCTAACTGGCTCTGTTGAGAGAAGAAACTTGAAAAGAATACAGTGTAGGTTTGGACTTTTTCACATGCACTTTTCCCAAAATACACAGCACAATCAATGTCTCCAATTCTATTCAATCTTGTTAGCAAGTCCTTGTTCCATGCATATTGGTGACTCCATATCAAATTGCCATTTTTATAGATTAAATGGCCAAATATTGGCAATTTCATAAGGTTCAGTCTATTACCTACCTTGATTGTATTAGTCAATAACCTGCCTATTTTCAGAATGCTACATATTCATTTGACTGTTGTTAAATAGCTATGGATTTTTATAATCAAAACAGGTTTAAAATATGAGTCAGTTTGAAACTATATACATATGGCCAGGCACGGTGGCTCATGTTTGTAATCCCAGCACTTTGGGAGGCCAAGGCAGGCAGATTACATGAGGCCAAGAGTTCAAGACCAGCCTGGCCAACATGGTGAAATCCTGTCTCTACTAAAAATACAAAAATTAGCTGGGCGTGTCGGTGGGCACCTGTAGTCCCAGCTACTCAGGAAGCCAAGGCAGGAAAATCACTTTAACCCGGAGGGTGGAGGTTGCAGTGATCTGAGATTGTGCCACTGCACTTCAGCCTGGTGACAGAGCAGGACTCTGTCTCAAAAAGAAAAAAAAAAAGAAAAGAAACTATATACATATTTTTTAAGGAATTGGTTCATGAAATTACGTGGGCTGGCAAGTTTAAAATTTGCAGGGCAGGCCCTGCAGGAAACCCAGGGAAGGGTTGATGTTGCAGTCTCACCTGGAAGCAGAATTCATTCTTCCTCATGGGTTAGGAGAGGGAAGCTGAGTCTATTCTTTTAAGGTGGTCAAGTGATTGGAAGGGGCTCACCCACATTATGAAGGGTCATCTACTTTGCTCAAAGTCTACTGGCTTAAATGTCAATTGTGTCTAAAATATACTTTCACAGCAACACCAGGCTGGAGTTTGACCAAAAACAGGCCTAACCAAGTTGATCATAAAATTAACCATCACAGACTGGGCGCAGTGGTTCACACCTGTAATCCCAGCACTTTGGGAGGCTAAGGCAGGAGGATCACCAGGTCAGGAGTTCAAGATCAAGCCTGGCCAGCATGGTGAAACCCCGTCTCTACTAAAGATATAAAAAATTAACCAGGTGTGGTGGTGTTAACCTGTAATTCCAACTATTTGGCAGGCTCAGGCAGGAGAATTGCTTGAACCCAGGAGGCGGAGGTTGCAGTGAGCCAAGATTGTGCCACTGCCCTCCAGCCTGGGTGATGGGGTGAGACTTTGTCTCAGAAAACAAATAAAATAAAATAAAATAAAATAAAATAAAATAAAATAAAAATTAACCATCGTAGTCCCCTTCCCCAAATTTGTTCATCATAGAATGAAATCTTTGACCACATTCCTATTCTTAAGATCATGGGGAAATTGATATATCATGATGAAGATCCCTCCAGCTTTAGGGAATTAAGAGATGCCTGTGTTTCTGATTAGTGCAGAAGGTTATGAATGGAATTAATTAACATACTCAATTATCTTTTGGGGTATCTTATGGGAATCAAGTGTAGGGCTGACGGGAGGCCACCAAGGTTGATATGTTAGAAGCAGGATATTGGAAGGATTTTCTTATGAGCATTCATTGGCATTTCGAGGCTTTAGGTGAGCAATTCCTCACCATTTAAATTAATTGAGAATTCAATAACTACTCTGACAAACTTAAGTTTCTCTGTTTTTCAGGGCATTCCAAAGCTTCCCAGATGGCTTTGGGCAAATTGCTTGACCTTATGTATCTATTTTCAAAGCAAGCTTCCAAACCTAGCATTCAGTGACTCTCTAACCAGAACCTAACCTACCCATCCAGTTTTTTCCATCATGAATTTCCAACTCTCTGCTTCTGAAAATCCAGTTCCCATCTCCCTCTCTGCTATGATCACACTAATTTCCACCAAGATATTGTAGTTGATGTGGTTTTCTACAATGTAGACAACTATTCCTCTATCTGTCCCATCTTTCAAACGCAATTCATAATGTCTTTAACATACACAGAGTTCTAGTAAATCAACATGAAATAAACGGTCCCCCTGTGCAAGATGGCTGATGGGGGTGCACATACAGTTCACAGAAGAGATTCAGAAGGCCAACACCATGAGATGATATGTTTGTATTGTGAAGCAAAAAGAGAAGTTGAGCTAACTATTAAAATTAATTTTTGACTTTCAGAATGCAAAGATTTCAATGAATATAAACCTAGGACTAAATTTGGAAGAACCGTGCAGGAGGCTTTATTCACAGGGCAGTGATAACAAAGCACCAAAAACAGAGTGGCTGAAGACAACAGAAATGGATTGTCTCACAGCTCTGGAGGACAGAAGTCTGAAATGAAGGTCTTTTCTGTACCATACTCCCTCCAAAACTTGCAGGGGAGAATCCTTCTTTGCCTCTTCCTTGCTTCTGTTGGTGGCGCTTGATCTTCAGAGTTCCTTGACTTGCAGGCACATCACTCCGTTCTCTGCCTCTGTCATCACATGATGCTCTCCCTGTGTCTTTTCCCAAATTTACTCTTCTAAGGACCTCAGTCATGCTGGATTGGGGTCCACCCTAATTACCTCCTCTTAACTAAATACCTCTGTAAACACTATTTCCAAATAAGGTCACATTCACAGGTCATAATTTTTGCAAAGGCACTTTTAGGTCTTTGTTGTTCTGTATTAGCATCTTCTGCTTAAGTCCTTTCATAGCCATTGTCATGGGTGAAACAATGTCCCCTGAAAAAGAGGTTGAAAAAAAATCTGATACAGTTGGCCCCATCTTGCTTTTAACCTTCAAGTTGTCCGTTAGTCACTCCTGGCCATAGGCCAAGCTAACTTTGAGATGAATTTATTTTATAGTTTAAACTTAAAGCAAGAATAATAATAGTTTTTCCTAAACTAAGCAACCTTTGTAAAACTAATACAAGGGCACAAGGTTAAGATTATGAGATGTGCCTAATTATGCTAAGATGTAGGCATAATTAAACATTAACCAGCCACTCACTATTCTGGAGGTCACAAGATTTATAACTTCCCCAATTATTCCTGTAAGTAACATCACCATTGTAACACCTAAGATTGGCAAGATTGGCCTTTTAAAAGTGCTTTTCAGACTTCTGACAATCAACTGACTTGGACTTCACCTCA